CAATACCCTCCCCCTCAAATATCTCAGCCCTACAACCTGCCTCTCCAAGGGGCCTTCAGTAGTGTTTACTTATACAGTACATCTATTAGAGTTTGCTCAGAATACAATATTCTGATCAGTTCTGTAAAAGAACAAGAAAGCATTAACAATATTCCTCCCCCACTTTGTTATTTTCCTCCTGATTGTCAGTTCAAATTTGTTGTCTTGTGTTCTTCCATGCAGAACACCATGGCAAACTTGCATTTGAGGAACAAAGCTGCTATCACTTTTATGAATGATCACAATCTTCCCATCACTGGGCACAATAAATGCTGACTCCCTTTAAAAGTGCATATGCACAACGTTTTCCCACACCCAAAAGGAAATACCCACTTGTAATTACTGTATGGTGTAATTCATTAAGGGAACAAGACTATTATGTATATTTTTAAACTGATCAATTTGGTTGCCTGATTCTTTGCATGCCCCTCTGGATTTTATTCCTTTACTTTTATTCCAAATACAACATTGTTTACAGGAATTAGGGGACAAGAGGTTATAATGGCAAAAAGAAAATGTGGAATCTAAATCCCTTCTGTCTTGAAGTAGACATGACCAGCCATCAATGTGATTCTGAATAACACAGACTAAAATTATAGCAGACTAGAAATATTTCATTTCACCTCATCACCTCTTTTATAGAACCCTAATGGAAGTGGTGTTTTAATACCACAACATTTTCTGATGCGAACATGTCACTGAAATTGCCAGATAGCTTGTCAGGGTCAATTAAACTGTATGAAACAACAGCAAAAGAGGAACTTCGCATGCTGTGAGTAAGGTAGACAACTAATTTGACAGTTTGCTACATAGAGCTTAAAACAATAAGATTTCAATTACAAGACCAGTTAAGTAGAATAATAAGCTATTGAATACATTAGAACAGTTTATGTCAGAATTTTGCAACTCAGAAGGTACATCAAAATGTAGTGTAAGCCATCAGCGAAAGGTTTCCTAATGACATATTGAAAATACACGTAAATGGTTTTCGTTTTGATGGTGGCACAAATGAAAAACAAAGAGTACTTAACCTTCCAAAAATTAAGCAACAAAGACCACTTTATGTATTACTTCCAATTTGGAAGAGAAATGCATTAGCTTTGCTGTGTTTGTTACTGCAGAGAAGTTACATTGCATATTTAATGGACTGGTTATGTACTGCAAAACTGACTGGATAGCTCAGAATTAGGAATCCAAATGCAGAGCTAGAGGCTGGGAGTTCAATTCTTCATTATGTATCCCAAAACAGCCAACCTGTGTGTCTTTGTGCAAGTTGCACAGTCCCAGAGCAGCCGCAGAAGAAGGGAATGGTAAACAGTTTCTGTGTATTGTCTACCTGGAAAATCCTGAGAACGATCACCATAAATCAGAATTGACTTGATGGCTCATGATTATTATAATGTACTGCAAATGTTGCTACAATGGAGTTCTTTATTTGAAAAGTGCATTTAAACTTAATTTTAAAAAATTGTAAAATTCTTGCACACTCCAATGGTCCAATATATATGGCATGAATAAGTCTGGGAAGGATCAGAAATGACTCTGGGAAGCCCACATATGGCCCGCACTTTGCCACTCTAGTTGTAAATATTATTTAATTATTTTGGAAACACTGTAGTCCCGCTTTCTTTTAATGTCTTCTCCAAGGAGTTTTCTGCTCTGCAGATTTATGAGCAACTTCCAAGATTTCTGGAATGTTTATCAATCCTACCTAAGACTAAAATTCCTTTGTGTATTGATGCTACTGTGCAGCAGAGCAAGTTAATATTCTACAAGGCAATTCTAAAAATGGGGGCAGCCCAACCCAAAAAATAC